CCTTTAATTTGTCCCATTGAAATGAATGGGAAACTTCTGCAATTCTGCTAAATTTTGCCTGTTTTTGAAACTTAACTACTTCCTCATATTTTCACCTAGAACAACCATTCAAATTTTAAAATGTTCACAAATTATTTGGCTATTCAGGTATGATTCAGCTTTTTCAAATCTTCTACTGTTTTACTTTTATGCCTCTTAAAGTTTTGAGTTGCAAAATTGTGATTTTTCACAAAATACATGTGTTGTTATGGTTGCTATGCTCTTGGCTTCCAGTGTGCCACTGAAGGTTTTGCAATTTTCACTTCATGTCCGAACAACTTCCTGCTACTTGCTCAATTTTCACTCAACTTCCACAAATTATACATCAAAACGTAGGTATTTTTGCTGGCTTTCAGAAAATGTCACCATCATTGTTGTGGGATTTATAGAATTTTTGCAAATCTCCTCAGACTAACACAAGGTCAGAAAACTCTCCATATAAAGTGAATGGAGAGCTTGTTCAAAATCACCGCTGGATTTCTGTAATGAGAGGCATATTCGAATCGTCATATCTCCTTAACGAAGCAAAGTTAAGACATGAGGCTTGTCCCCGAATATCTTCAGACACCCCTGACGCTCACAATTCAAGAATTTCTTTCTCACCTATTACCGTTCTGAAATGAGTTGGACTTGTTTGAGGGTAGGAAATTCGTCCTTCGCTCAGATTTCTTCAGATTTCAAACTGTGGAAATGAACCACTTTTTTCTCTCGTCATAACTTTTTGTTGGATTTCCACAGAGACCTGAAATTTTCCATGATTGTTCACCAAAGCCTGCTGTCTCTTACGGTGAAAGAATGATATCGATACTCCAAATAGATTTCGAGTTAGAAAGCGTTGTTTGAGGGCAAGTCAAGGCAGTTTTTGCTTCGCTCTACTCAGTTATGGTGCATTACAAGTCAAATATCTTTAATAATTCATATTTTAATGATAAATTGTAAACACTGGAAGATTCCCCCATCTCTTCTGAACAAAACGGTGTAAGAATGACCGCTCTAGCCCCTACGGTTTGGAAATTATGGTCATTTGTTTGAGGGGAGTCCTCACTATGAGAAATAGGCTGCAATAATCCTGTGCCTCTCTGTGCTGCGTGTGTAAAAAGAGGCACATGTTTTGGCGGGAAAAAGTACACAGGCTCTCTGATTGGTGGATTCAAATTCAGCAGCTCCCAGGCTGACCTAGAAACTTACTTCTCTCTCCCTGTGCATTTTTTTGCTGATTTTTTCATTTAACAAGTATATTTGAGGGACCCTCAGCATGTTCAGCATTTTTTCAGCTGTCCATTTTGCTTTTCCAATTTTTCTGTTTAACTTATTACTATTGTGCTAAATAATACTATTTCTGCTATTTTATAAGATTTGTGCCTAATATAGTATTTCTGCTAAATTACAATATTTCTGCTTTTTATACTATTTGTGCTAAAACATAGTATTTCTACTAAATGTAGTATTTATGCTTAATCATACTATTTCTGCTTTTTATGGGATTTGTGCCTAATATAGTATTTCTGCTTTTTATAGGATTTTTGCTCAAACATAGTATTTCTACTAAATGTAGTGTTTATGCTTAATCATCCTATTTCTGCTTTTTATAGGATTTGTGCTTAATATAGTATTTCTGCTAAATTATAGTATTTCTGCTTTTTATAGTATTTGTGCTAAAACATAGTATTTCTACTAAATGTAGTATTTATGCTTAATCATAGTATTTCTATATATTTCTGCCAGGTCCCCAGGCAGCCAATCCTCTGTGAGGACTGAGAAATTCAAATTTTCAAATCAGGGCCTGCACAGTTTCCCAGCCAATCAAATAAGTGTCCTGAGGCATTCAAATTTGCATATTGGGGCCTTCATGGCTTCTAAGCCAGCCAATCATATCTGAGGGCTGAGGAATTCAAATCCACAAATCAGGGCCTGCACGGCTTCCCAGCCAGCCAATCATATATGTGGTCTCAGGCATTCATATTTGCATATTGGGGAATTCGTGGCTTCTAAGTCAACAAGTCATCCATGTCATATATCTCTAAAAATTCACATTTTAATGATAAATTGTTAACACTGGAAGATTCCCCCATCTCTTCTGAACAAAACAGTGTAAGAATGACCGCTCTAGCCCCTACGGTTAGGAAATTATGGTCATTTGTTTGAGGGGAGTCCTCACTATGAGAAATAGGCTGCAATAATCCTGTGCCTCTCTGTGCTGCTGCGTGTGTAAAAAGATGCACCTGTTTTGGCGGGAAAACGTAAACAGCCACTCTGATTGGTGGATTTAAATTCGGCAGCTCTCTCCCTCTGTGTGTGTGTGTGTGTGTGTGTGTGTGTGTGTGTGTGTGTGTGTGTGTGTGTGTGTGTGTGTGTGTTTAGTGGGAGAGAGAGGACCCTGCCCTTATTTGGCAGCATGTCATTGTAGGATTTAAATTGAATATAGTTAGACTGGTTGACTGGATTAGAGCCTGTGTTTGTGTGTCCCTCTGTGCATTTGTGTTTCAATAAGTTATTACTATTCTGCTAAATCATAGTATTTCTGGTACTTTTCGGTACTTGTGCTAAATACAGTATTTCTGCTAAATCATACTATTTCTGCTTTTCATAGGATTTATGCCTAATATAGTATTTCTGCTAAATTATAGTATTTCTGCTTTTTATAGGATTTGTGCCTAACATAGTATTTCTGCTAAATTATAGTATTTCTGCTTTTTATAGGATTTGTGCTTAACATAGTATTTCTGCTAAATTATAGTATTTCTGCTTTTTATACTATTTGTTCTAAATTATAGTATTTCTGCTTTTTATAGGATTTGTGCTTAATATAGTATTTCTGCTAAATTATAGTTTTTCTTCTTTTTATAATATTTGTGCTAAAACATAGTATTTCTACTAAATGTAGTATTTATGCTTAATAATAGTATTTCTATATATTTCTGCCAGGTCCCCAGGCAGCCAATCCTCTGTGAGGACTGAGACATTCAAATTTTCAAATCAGGGCCTGCACAGTTTCCCAGCCAATCAAATAAGTGTCCTGAGGCATTCAAATTTGCATATTGGGGCCTTCATGGCTTCTAAGCCAGCCAATCATATCTGAGGGCTGAGGAATTCAAATCCACAAATCAGGGCCTGCACGGCTTCCCAGCCAGCCAATCACATATGTGGTCTCAGGCATTCAAATTTGCATATTGGGGAATTCGTGGCTTCTAAGTCAACAAGTCATCCATGTCATATATCTCTAAAAATTCATATTTTAATATTAAATTGTCAACACTTGAAGATTCCCCCATCTCTTCTGAACAAAACGGTATAAGAATGACCGTTCTAGCCCCTACGGTTAGGAAATTACGGTAATTTGTTTGAGGGGAGTCGTCACTATGAGAAAAATCCTGTGTCTCTCTGTGCTGCTGCGTGTGTAAACAGATGCACCTGTTTTGGTGGGGAAAAGTGCACAGCCTCTCTGATTGGTGGATTCAAATTCACCAGCTCCCAGGCTGACCTAGAAACTTACTTCTCTCTCCCTGTGTGTGTGTGTGTGTGTGTGTGTGTGTGTGTGTGTGTGTGTGTGTGTGTGTGTGTGACAGAGAGAGAGAGAGAGAGAGAGAGAAAGGCTTTTAATGGGATGATCTCATTCTAAGATTTAAATTCAATATATTTAGACTGGTTGACTGAATTGGATCTTGTGTGTGGGTCTCTCTGTGCATGTGTGTTTCCTCATGTGTACATATTTGTGATTGTGTGGCTGTAATAAATTTTTTTGCAGATTTTTGTCATTTAACAAGTATATTTGAGGGACCCTCAGCATGTTCAGCATTTTTTCAGCTGTCCATTTTGCTTTTCCAATTTTTCTGTTTAACTTATTACTATTGTGCTAAATCATACTATTTCTGCTATTTTATAAGATTTGTGCTTAATATACTATTTCTGCTTTTATAGGATTTGTGCTTAATATAGTATTTCTGCTAAATGTAGTATTTATGCTTAATCATACTATTTCTGCTTTTTATAGTATTTGTGCTTAATATAGTATTTCTGCTAAATTTAGTATTTCTGATTAATTATAGTTTTTCTACTAAATCATAGTACAGTATTTCTGCTTTTTATGGGATTTGTGCTAAAACAAAGTATTTCTACTAAATGTAGTATTTGTGCTTAATCATACCATTTCTGCTTTTTATAGGATTTGTGCTTAATATAGTATTTCTGCTAAATTATAGTATTTCTGCCAAATTATAATATTTGTGCTAAAACATAGTCTCAATTTAAAATTACAATATTCATAGTTCATCACAGTGTCTCTGGTAAATCACAATATTTCTGCTCTGTTGTACTATTTTTCTAAATCATAGTGTTTCTGTAATGTTTAAGTATTTTTGGCTAAATATATTCTTTCTGTTATCTTATACTATTTCTCCTAAATTCTTGTATTTTTGAGAAGTTATCATGTTTCTGGTAAGTTACAATATTTCTGCTAAATTCTGCTATGCTATTGTATTTCTGCCAAGTATTATGTTTCCTCTAAGATATTGCAGTTCTGCTAAGTTATTCCATTTTAGCAAACTTCTTTTGCTTCTGCAAAGTTTTTACAATTTCTGCAACTTTTCAGCTTTTTCAGCTACTTTTTGCATACAGCTTCAGCTTTAAGCATCCACACTGCATTTTCGCAGGAAATGCAAATTTTTCTAGTTATTATTGTTATTGTTGTTGTTGTTGTTGTTATTATTATTATTATTATTAGTGGTAGTAGTAGTAGTACAAAATCAATTCTGCAAAATTTGGGTTGCTGTGCAAAAATGTACAAAAACGATGCAAGAATTTACAAATCTTATATTTCGTGCACAACTGAACATGGAAAATATATTGAATGATCACACAGAGAAAATCCCAGTCTCTGAAAAGCAATGTCGTATTTTCAATTGAACATAAATTTGGGCCAAAGCCATGTTTTACCACTGTGCAAGAATGTTACATTATTCTGATTTTTTTTTTTTTTTTTTTTTTTTTTGCAGAGTAGTGAACCTCTGTACATTTCTACTTCTGAGAAACTCTCTAAAATGCTCTTCTTATATCCAGTCATATTGCTCATTTGTTGCTAGTTAACCTAATTAGTTCCTGAAGCTGGTTCTTTTTAGTATTTCTTACTTTTTTCAGCTTTTTTTTCAGTATTTTTTATTTTCTTTTTTGGGTGGATCTTTACAGTTAGGAAGTCTGTGTCTTCAGAAATAACAATTACGTGTTCCCACCTTTGACCAAAGCAATGATGCCAGGGATGATGATGAGGACTAAAGCAAACATCTTAATGAAAGTCAAAGAGACCTGGATGTGAGATGCCATGCGCACACTCCAGCAGTTGACTGCCACAAGAAATGCTACAGACACACAAAGATAAACAACTGGCAAAATAAACTATTGTGGTTAGTATAATACAAACATGTAAAAAAAATAAAAATACAGGACTGTGCAAAGTTGTTGAGTCATTCTTCATCTCTTTATATTTTGCAAGGAAAATGGGAAATAGATGAATGAGTAAAATTTCTGCACGCATGGAAATATGTGTTCTGTTTGGAAGTATATAGGCAAAACAAGTTTGTACAAAATTGCAGAAACTTGTTTTTACAATTTAAATGAGCTTTAAAGATTTGGTACTCCGACCTTTATTCTTGAACTCCCTACTTCTCCAGGCTTCTTGAAGGACATTCAAAGATCTTCTTTACATGTTGGCTGCCTCCTTTTCTTTCCTCTGTCAAGCTGATTTTTGTCAAGTTCAGATCTGAGCTCTGATCTGAGTCCATGACTGATAGTTTTCAATTGTGTGTTTTTCTATTCACATATACTTTTACTGCTTTGGCAGGGTATTTGGGATCATTTCAAGCTGAAAAATGAAAATATTCCCAGTCAGATACTTTCCAGCTGATATTGAAAGGTTTATAAAAGTCAGACGTTTCTTTTGTGTGTTCAGAATTCCAACAATTTTGACAAGATCTCCAAAATCACAGCATGAAATCAAGCCCCAAACCATGACAGAGCCTCCACTGTGTTTTACAGCTGGTTCAGACACTCACTGTTGTACCTCAGTGATTTGAACAAAACAATATTCCATGAAACCAGACTTTCAGTTAGTTGTATTGTAGCATACCTCAGTGGCTTTGTAACAGACACTCTTCCACTTAGACCATTTCTAATACGGCTTCTGTGAATTTTAGATGGATTACCTGAAGGCCTAGATGCATACCTCAGTCTCTACTGGATTTTTCCTATAACTTAAGGACATGTTCATTGGATTTTGTTCATCTGCTACAGATTCTTTTAACCACTTTTTCCCATTTCCTCAACATTTCAAAGGAAACACTGCACACTTGAGAGGTTTTTGGTTAATAACACTTTAGGAATCACTTTGTGAGAGCAAAAATACAATCTCTTGCCCTGTTATCTTTTCTGTTCTTCATAGAGTCAGCTAAAGAAATTAGAGAAAAATTATTACAAGACAGTCTATTTGGAAGCAAAACATAAAGAAATCAAGGTAGACTCAAGACTTTCGCACAACACTGAGAACTGAAAACCACTCACTCACTCCAAGGATGCTCACAAGTTTGATTAGCATTGTCGGAGCAGCACATGGTGCGAAGAATGGCTCCACCACATAACGACCGAAGGCCAAGGACACAAGGGAAGTCGAAGCTGGTCTGGATATTAAAAATATTTTCAGTGATTAAGCGCTGACTCTATTTTATAACTCTAGCCTGATAAATAATAATCTTACCTGTTAAATAAGAACTCAACCCAGAGTCGGAGGAAAGCAGGAAGGGGACCTAATGTCTCCAATAGATACATGAAGTCACCCCCTGATTTTGTAAAGGTGGTGCCTAGTTCAGCATAGCACAGTGCCCCTGGAAGAACAGAAAATAAGCACATGAAAATTTTTTGATTGTGATTTGACAATCAAAGGCCTTTCTGACAAAACCTTTAAAGAATTTGATCATCATGTTGGGCTCAAATCAGATTTTGTGGTTATTAGACAAATGTATACATTGAAGATACCTATTACATGTAATATTTATGACCAGCTTAAGAGATTTATTTTTACATCTGTAATTATTGATGAACTTTGATAAACTTTGATAACCAAGCTTGCAACATAATGCTTCAAAATGTGTAGTTCACGAAACAATGAATTGACATCTTTAATTTACAGTTTATGGAATTTTAAGCTTGAGACATAAATACAGCTTTTAAAAGACAGAATACACTTTATTCAGATCTTACCAAACAAGGAGAGGACCCCACACAGTCCCCACACTAGAAGTGACAGCTCCACGCTGCCACTGTTCATTAGGACTCCCTTCGGTGCAATGAAGATCCCACTGCCCACCACTGTTCCAATGATGAAAGATACAGCAGGCAGCAGCCCAATCTCCCTCCGAAGGTGCACCAGCTCCTCGTCCGTCTTCTTCTTGTTATCGTCCTCTTTATTCATCTGTGTGTGTCCCATTTGTCCGTGGCTGCAGGTCACAAAGTAAATGAGCTTGAAGCTATAACAGAAAGAAGCCTCGACCTACACGTTTTTCTGTGTTCACTCGCTCTTACTCCATTGTCCAGCCTGATTAGGGAACAAAGCCAGTACTCTTCCAAACTTCAGCCATTAAACATAACAGCTTTAAGCCTTGACGCTTTTGTGTGGAGCTTGTCAGAGTCCTTTTAGACTCAAAGAGAAAAGAGTTGGGATGTTGCAGAAACAGCTACATAGACTGCACATAGCTACTTTTAACAAGGTTCACACAAGCTGTCATTTTCCTCTGGTTTCACACAGTTTATGTGTTCTCATTTGTCTACCTACTACAGAATGTTCATTTATCACTGCTTCCCTTCCTGTAAAAGTCACAACACGTCACTGATATTTACAAATTTATGAAAAGAATTCAGCTACAGATTGTCTCATGTTTCTTTGTCAAGTTAAATAAACCTTTTTGAAGATTGTTTGACCACTATGGGAGTAAAATGTTTACAATGTGAAGCTGTATTAGTGTAAACCTAAGCAATGTGGTTTATATCATCTCTGCAGACTGCATTTTTAAATATTAACATTATAAACTATCCACTTGAAAGGCTGCTAAAGCACTCTAATGCATTGTGAAACTATCTGTCTGAGCATATTAAGGGCTACATTAAGAATTTATTACCTTTGTGATTAAAATGTAGTCAACATAATGTATTGTAAATGTTAAAGCCTACATGTCAGACACCTTGTCCCAACCATGATAAATGACACAGTGTATTTATAAAAGAACAAGCTATTGTGATTCAAGGACAAAACAAGATACAAAATAACAGAGAGATTAGTTGTAGATTTTACTGACATGAATCAGCACAGATGACAGTCTTGCAATTTTAAAACCAGGAGCAACCACTACAAACATATGATCATTAATTTTTTAAGTCTAGACGGAAAACAAGCAATTTATCTGATGGTGTTTTAACACTGGTAATGTCAAGGCAGGGTATGATTAAGCTTCTAGGGGCCTATATCTTGATATCTATATGTCCATAATTCCTTTTCTAAATGAAAAGGTTTGAGTGCACAGAAAAATAATTCATTAATTAATTAAGAAAAATAGCTAAAGTGTTTTAACAGCTTAACTGGGACAGGCGAGAGGCTACCATGCCACTATGTGTTAGTAGATAGAAATGGTAATAACTAGACTTTCTACAGGCGTGTGAAAAAGAAAGTCCACATTCACTGTTCCCATAAGAATGAAGAGGGTAAAGAACAAGCAGGTGCTACAAATCCCCTTGTTTAACTGATCACCAGTAAGTGTGACCACCTCCTGGAAAGTAGAAGTTTTGGCAGTTTGCAGGTCTAAAGCACTCAGGTGTGTGTTAACAAGATGCTGCAAGCATCCCAAGAGTGGACGTCCAAGTAAATTCAACTCAAGATCAGGCTGTGCAGTGTGCAAGGAAAAAACCTCTTTGTGCTAGAAAGAACATGGCAGCATGGTAAATGGTAAATGGCCTGTATTTATATAGCGCTTTACTAGTCCCTAAGGACCCCAAAGCGCTTTACATATCCAGTCATCCACCCATTCACACACACATTCACACACTGGTGATGGCAAGCTACATTGTAGCCACAGCCACCCTGGGGCGCACTGACAGAGGTGAGGCTGCCGGACACTGGCGCCACCGGGCCCTCTGACCACCACCAGTAGGCAGTGGGTGAAGTGTCTTGTCCAAGGACACAACGACCGAGACCGTCCAAGCCGGGGCTCGAACCGGCAACCTTCCGATTACAAGGCGAACTCCCAACTCTTGAGCCACGATCGCCCGAGCATGGTTAGAAAAGTTGTTTCCCCGAACAAACAACAAGACTTCTCTCCTTTGGACAGGCAGAATTCAAGTGGAGATGTTTAGTCATAAAGTATAGCGCCAATTTGAGTGAAAACCAAATACAGCATATCAGCACAGACGTCTCATAAAACCTTTCAAAGTGGTGGAGTGGTAATGGACTCGCTTTGAAGCCAGAGTAAAGACTTGTAGTCAGTCTGCCTAAACCAAGAACAAGACAATACCAAGACCAGAGGGTATCGAGACCAAGACAAGACCAAGACCAAGACGGACCGAGTCAAGACCAAGACAAAGTCGAGACGAGACCAAGACCAAGACCGAGACAAAAAAAGTCTTTAAATTGCAGCCACGGGTGCCAGGCATATTTATGTGTTTTTGCGATGCACTCGCACAGCCCTCCTCACTGCTGTCTACAGTCTCACTCACTTACTGAGAGGACAGACGCACGCTCCACTTGACTATCGCGTCTCTCACCCTCTCTGTTTTTTACATAATGATATTATCCTATATCCTCGCATGTGATTGGCCACAATATGGAGGGATTGGAGCATAGCTGAGCTACTGTGTGAGAGCTGAGCAGCGAAAAGAAATTAAGTGAGGAGCCGGCTCTCGCTCAATGGGAGTCGACTCTTCTGATTCACTACAAAGCACTCTCTAAGCACGGCTCTTAGAGCTAAAGCTTTTGCGCATGACACATTATCGAACGTTACGTTGTGTGTCATGGATACTGTTGACCCCAAATATCCCGACCACTATGTCGATCTGAGACAGCGAGACCGAGACAGCGAGACCAAGACAAGACCAAGACCACATAAAAGTGGTCTCGAGACCGTTCTCGAGACATCCAATTTTACCAGAGGACTTGGGCACCTTGCAGTCAATACCAAAGTATTCTAGAGTCAAAGTGAGCCCATCTGTCCAACAGCTACATCTTGATTGAAATTGGGTTAGTGGAACAGCAATCTCAAGGACATGAGCAAGTCTACAACAGAATTGCTGAAAAACAAATAGTGCTGCAACACTCCAAAGACAGCTGCGGATTAATGAACACCTCCAAATCTCAAAGAACTGAAGCCCAATGATGTAAGGAAGAGTGGGCCGAAATTCCTCCATAATTTAAGAGACCGATAAAGTCAGAGAAAAAATGATTACTTCAAATTATTGCTGCTAAAGATGGTTGAACTGAATGATCGGGTGTAGGCTACTCAGTTTTTCACAGGATTTCACACAGCCCAGTAAAAACTTTCTTTTTCACGGGACTGTATGTGCTGTTCACACTGTTTATGGATCACATAAAAAACAAAACATCAAGACGAGTGAGCATGATAATGAATAAAGAGTATGTATTTGCATCTTTGCCCACGTTTTTGAGTCTTACAGATATTTCAACCACTTTTCATTGTCTTCATCGTCAAACAAAGACGTCTGTGTCCACAAGGTCATGTGAGCTATACGTAAATTTTCTTTGATCTAATTATTGTTTGCGAGGTAGGATCAACACCCTTTCTTTTTCTTTCCATTAATAAATCCAATTTTTAATTAAGGAAACGCTTTTAATCTCTTTTAGAGAAACATTGTTCTGTTTTTTCTTTTTTCAGATCCTAGGCTTGAAACTATGGCTAGCAGATGATGTCAGCCTTTTCTGTGCTTCATCCAGTGGTTAAAGTGGGATTTGAGGAATGAGTCAAACCAGTATAATGCTAGTAAAAGGTGGAATTTGGAAAGAACATCAGTAGCTTAAATTAAAATTAAAATTACTCACGATTACTACTTCTAGGAACCGGTCTTGTAAGTCAGCCATAGTTAAAGGTATCTGGATGCCTACTTTGATCCATTATATTATTTAAATTTCATTTTAATGGTTAAACTGACATATATAATAGCATTCATTGTTGTTCAGATTTAAGCTTTAAATTTCTGGTCCTTACCTTTGAAGAGACTCTCCCATCTTCCTCTCCTGACCTCTTTCTCTTTTGTCTTCCTCCATCTCTATGTGTGAACTTATCTCACACTCACTTTTCTTTTTCTTCCAGGAAACTGCAGCTACAGCAACTGCAGATAACGGTAGCTCGCAGACGCAGTATGTTGCAAATGTTACAGAACAGTTTGTTTCTTTGGTGATATTCGTTGAGCTATTTGAAATGTTGCATTTGAAATTAGACGCCACTTCAAGAAACATCTTGTCCCTGCATCTTCTTTGCATCGACACCACTCTGAGGACGTGTGCGGGTGACAACATGTGGTGACTTAGCTGCTTCCATGGCATCCACTGGAAGGGCCAGGGTGGACTACATGAAAAACAAGATTGACTTTACATTATTTTGTATTAAACGTCTTATAAGATTTAACAAAAAGTGCCGGAACGGCGTTCTGAATCGTTTGACCCATGCCTTTATCATACTGCATTCAGTGAGTGTTTAAAGTGTGAATGTGAGTCAGGCATGGTGGCTCAGCATGAACTGAAAACAGGGGTGGTCCGGCATTTTTCTCCTCCACTCTTTCTGTGTGTGTCCAAGGACTGTCTAGTTAATCCAACTGGGGAATTCCTATTGTGCAGTAGACCTTTGTAAGGCCCTGACTGCGCGGGACGTTCAAGGTCCTAAACATTCAGATTCGGATGATTTGGGGTCATCATGCTTGCCTTTTGTGTGTGTGTGTGTGTGTGTGTGTGTGTGTGTGTGTGTGTGTGTGTGTGTGTGTGTGTGTGTGTGTGTGTGTGTGTGTGTGTGAGTGAGCGAGAGAGAGAGAGAGAGAGAGAGAGAGAGGTATTTGCATGTATTTGTGTAACAGCAGTGGCGAGATTTTAAACACCTGAGGTTTATGTGACTGCATTTTTGAGTCAAGGGCGCTGCTGTGGACTAGGCTACTCTCCTTGGTTCTGCTGCTGATTGAAGCACAAAGAGCATTCCTCGGCTGTGAATCAGAGGACAGAGGTCACCAACATTGCTCCAAATTAGCACTGAAACTCTCATTGAATCTTGGGCCATGTTTGCACACATACAGTGGGGCAAAAAAGTAATTAGTCAGCCACCGATTGTGCAAGTTCCCCCACTTAAAATGATGACAGAGGTCAGTAATTTGCACCAGAGGTACACTTCAACTGTGAGAGACAGAATGTGAAAAAAAAATCCATGAATTCACATGGTAGGATTTGTAAAGAATTTATTCGTAAATTAGGGTGGAAAATAAGTATTTGGTCACCTCAAACAAGGAAAATCTCTGGCTCTCACAGACCTGTAACGTCTTCTGTAAGAAGCTTTTCTGTCCCCCACTCGTTACCTGTATGAATGGCACCTGTTTGAACTCATCATCTGTATAAAAGACACCTGTCCACAGCCTCAAACAGTCAGACTCCAAACTCCGCCATGGCCAAGACCAAAGAGCTTTCGAAGGACACCAGGAAAAGTATTGTAGACCTGCACCAGACTGGGAAGAGTGAATCTACAATAGGCAAGCAGCTTGGTGTGAAAAAATCAACTGTGGAAGCAATCATCAGAAAATGGAAGACATACAAGACCACTGATAATCTCCCTCGATCTGGGGCTCCACGCAAGATTTCATCCCGTGGGGTCAAAATGATCATGAGAACGGTGAGCAAAGATCCCAGAACCACACGGGGGGACCTGGTGAATGACCTGCAGAGAGCTGGGACCAAAGTAACAAAGGTCACCATCAGTAACACACCACAACGGCAGGGAATCAAATCCCGCAGTGCCAGACGTGTTCCGCTGCTGAAGCCAGTGCATGTCCAGGCCCGTCTGAAGTTTGCCAGAGAGCACATGGATGATACAGCAGAGGATCGGGAGAATGTCATGTGGTCAGACGAAACCCAAGTAGAACTTTTTGGTATAAACTCAACTCGTCGTGTTTGGAGGAAGAAGAATACTGAGTTGCATCCCAAGAACACCATACCTACTGTGAAGCATGGGGGTGGAAACATCATGCTATGGGGCTGTTTTTCTGCCAAGGGGACAGGACGACTGATCTGTGTTAAGGACAGAATGAATGGGGCCATGTATCGTGAGATTTTGAGCCAAAACCTCCTTCCATCAGTGAGAACTTTGAAGGTGAAACGAGGCTGGGTCTTCCAACATGACAATGATCCAAAACACACCGCCCGGGCAACAAAGGAGTGGCTCCGTAAGAAGCATTTGAAAGTCCTGGAGTGGCCTAGCCAGTCTCCAGACCTCAACCCCATAGAAAATCTGTGGCAGGAGTTGAAAGTCCGTGTTGCTCGGCGACAGCCCCAAAACATCACTGCTCTCGAGAAGATCTGCATGGAGGAATGGGCCAAAATACCAGCTACTGTGTGTGCAAACCTGGTAAAGACCTATAGTAAACGTTTGACCTCTGTTATTGCCAACAAAGGTTATGTTACAAAGTATTGAGTTGTATTTTTGTCATTGACCAAATACTTATTTTCCACCCTGATTTACGAATAAATTCTTTACAAATCCTACCATGTGGATTCATGGATTTTTTTTTTCACATTCTGTCTCTCACAGTTGAAGTGTACCTCTGGTGCAAATTACTGACCTCTGTCATCATTTTAAGTGGGGGAACTTGCACAATCGGTGGCTGACTAATACTTTTTTGCCCCACTGTATATAAAGACACATAAAGCACCACTTCAATCCCCTTGAAAAAAGACCTCCCACTTATATGAGCATTTTCATCTAACCCAGTCTAAACCATGTGCCGTCTACTCACTGTTAGGTCTGGGAATTTCCAGCAAAAGTCAAACCCAATGACTCTGCTCTACCTCCCTGTTTTTTGGGAAAAGTTAGAAGAAGAATGTAGAGGGCACTGGCTTTAGAAATACTACACCTTGTAGAGATGGTGCCTATTTCCCTGCACCACAGAGGTGCGTGCACCTGACTAAACGCCAGCAGGCTCTCACCATGGCTTAAGTGGAGGAGATCTAAGTCAAAACTGAATAATATTGTTTTTGGTTCTTGTATGATCATGATTTAACCTCTTTGAAAAATAAACAGTGGTTCTTCAGATTTCAAAGAGTCTGGGTGGCTCGCGTGAAGGTTGAGGATATTCTAAGGCAATACTTTTTGAGGGAACTAAAACGCTGTCTACCAGACTTTTGATAGCCTGGAAAAAGTTTTGATAGAATTTTCTTAAAGGATTATATTCTGAATAAAATCACTAACAGTTTGGATTGTAAGTATTGTCGCAAAATCGATCAATGTAGAGCAGTGTCACAAACCACGGAGGCCCCAGAAAAGTGCAATCAAACGTTGAGTTTATAAACAGCCCGGAGAAAACATCAACATATGTCTTCTGACCAAAATACATGTTGTGGATACTTATAAAGCAGTGGGGTACAAGCCCCCCCATGGCGTAAATGACAGATTAAAATAGGTTCCAGACATTAGTCACAGTTTATCGTACATCTTTAATAGCTATAAGCAGACATAGAACTTCTCTTTTCTATAAAACCTTCCATACAAGGTAATAAACTTCAAGCCCTCAGGGTCTCTGAGGCTAATTATTGACTCTGATCATCTGTTACCAAGTAGAATAAAATATAGTAAGACACCAAATGAGTTAAGGTCTCAGGCCGGACACATTCCTAGATTATATGTATTATATGTACTGCAAGCATGCATTGCAGTTATCCTTCTATGTTCTAGTTTCCCTCAGCATGTATCACCTGGACAGTCACGCCAGTGAAGCTTAAGACCCTTAATGAACCGAACATCAACTCAAAATAAGCACAGATATGCAATGTGTATAAAATACTTCTAACCGTACTTGTAATAAAAGTTAACATAATGGAAGGATCCTCAAATGGACATCTTCAATAAACAGCTGTAATGCAGTATCAATACTGTGAGAAATATTATTACATGAAATAATGCTGTAAAGAATGTTATTAATGCAATTATAATGATGCAGATTATATGGCAGCAATAAAAGAATTTCTGTATCTCCACAGTATCCAAAATACACATATTAGATTAACCCTGACTCTAACACAAACTGGGATGAAGCTTATAGTTTATAAAACAGGATTTCAGCTACTCACTTCCAAGTACTTGAATGATGACTGAGTTATGACAACATATAGTCAACAATGTGTCTGAAAATATGAAAAAGCTGTAAACTGCAGTATAAATGAATGTAAGGTCAGTTTCTGGAGGAATTTCATGCTGCACTTGTTAGTAATGTAGCATAACTGTGCACAGTTTTCTGTCTTAAAGGAAAACCAGCAGATCACCCTGTATAGATAAACCTTATTGCAAAATCTGTTTTAGTGTTGCTGTTGATTATGCATTAATTAAAAGAGGCTTCGTCACATTGCAATATTCGTTTAACGTGTGGCTGTGCAACAGTGGCACCTGCAGGTGAAGCTGTGGAAGTGCAGAAATAAATCTGCTAAACAATTGCTGTTAAGGATTTGAAATCAATCAGTTATCATGTGATTGAATTGCAGTTTTCCAGCTTTAATTAAAGAGATTTTTAGCATTAACTGTTCACACAACCCCCACTCCATTTTCAGAGGACTTAATAATAGGGCTGTTTTAATACTTGGATCAATATCCTTTGCAGTCAGTGACTGCCCGACATCACCAAATGCTGTGGTTTCGCCCTTGAGATCTTCTGCTGGGAATTTACTGCAGCTGCTTTGACTTGCTGCTTTCAGACTTTCTGTTTTTGTCTCCAGCAACTGAAAAAAGGTCCATTGGCTATACTGTCTTAGTTTTTTGTCCATTCACACTGGTTTGCTGTATTCGGTTCAATCTGAGCAGAGTATAGCAGTTTACATATCAGAATTTATCCTGCTGCTTCTATCAGCAGTCACTCAATCAATAAACATTAGTGGCCATGAGTCACGTGACCATACTATCACATTGCCACCATCATGTTGTTTCTTTCCTCCAAGCTTTTCTTCCTATCATCCTAGTACAAGCAAATCTTAGGTTTGATCTATCCAAACAGTTTTTTTTTCTTTCTGGGAGCTGTGCAGACTCAGACTCTGACTCTGAGTGTAACCA